GTGTAAATGATTTTTTTTAAATGTTCTATTATTATTTCTGGAAAGAACACGACCTCATCTATGGATTCTCAAAATTTCAGATTTTTGTGCATGTTGGTCCGAGCACAGAAAATCGTCAAAGTTGCCTCTTGGAAAACGCCTATTTCGTTGTGCCTGACCTCCCTATTTTGAGAAGACGGGGCTCAATGCCTGGGCCTAAGGGCCCTTTTGCAGTTCACATGCCCTCACTTCTTTTGGGGGTCCGCTTCTACCCGGGGACTGGTCCAACGGCCCCCACTTCTTTTTGGGGTCCACTTCCACCCGAGGACCGGTCCTTCCTTTTTCCAAAAGTCCCGGTTCTACCAGAGCTAGCTGCAGGTAGTCCGCAATTTTTCCAAGGACCAGTCCCTCAAATTTTTTCCCTCCCTAAGAACCCACTTTGCGTCCTGGTCGTCCGCCGCCAAAAATGCGACACCTTGACACAGACGCGGAACCCCACTATACCGCAGCCTAAGGGCTGCGAATTTATGTAGCAATTTTCCTGGAAAGATCAAAACAAAATCTACAAGTACTCCAATTTTCAAGTTTTTTCACCCATTCTTCCGAGCGCGAAAACTCACTGAATTTTGAGTACTTTTTTAGTTGGCCCAAGCATGGCTGAGTGGCAAAAATGGAAAATGTGCTGAATTGGTGCGACAATTATTTCGCAGTTTAAATAATTTTTTGTAAATGTTTTATTATTATTTCTGGAAAGAACACAACCTCATCTATGGATTCTCAAAATTTCAGATTTTTGTGCATGTTCGTCTGAGCACAGAAAATCGTCAAAGTTGCCTCTTGCAAAACGCCTGTTTCGTTGTGCCTGACCTCCCTGTTTTGAGAAGACGGGTTTCAACGCCTGGGCCTGAGGGCCCTTTTGCAGTTCACATGCCCTCACTTCTTTTTGGGGTCCGCTTCTACCCGAGGACCGGTCCAATCTCACTTCTTTTTGGGGTCCGCTTCTACTCGAGGACCGGTCCAATGCCCCCCACTTCTTTTTGGGGTCCACTTCTACTTGAGGACCTGTCCTTCGGTTTTCCAAAAGTCTCTGTTCTACCAGAGCTAGCTGTAGGTAGTCCGCAATTTTGGCAAGGACCGGTCCCCCAATTTTTTTTGCCCCCTAAGAACCCACTTTGCGTCCTGGTCGCCCGCCGCCAAAAATGCGACACCTTGACACAGACGCCGAAGCCCACTATACCGCAGCCTAAGGGCTGCGAACAAAGAAAAACCATCCCGCCCAGTATGTAGAAGAATTTCCATGGCGGGCGACCAGTACTTCCTAAAGTTGTGCCCGTTAAACCACCAGTACCTGGCCCAGCTATCGAGTCCGAGCCTCGGCCTACCGGTACGCCGACCCGTGCCGAGGCTCGGACTACCGGGCGCAGACATCCCGAACGCCGGCCTGAAAGGTGCGAAAAAAACGGGAAAAAAAAAACGAAACGGGAAGAAAAAAAACGAAAAAAAAAAGAAATAAGAAAAACGAACGGGTTCAGAGAGAGAGAGAGAGAGAGAGAGAGAGAGAGAGAGAGAGAGAGAGAGAGAGAGGG